GGGTCACTTTTGCACAGCAATATGGAAGGAAAGAATGATGTCACATCAAGACCGCTGTTGATTGGTTACAGCCCAATGTAGCAGCGTTGAAGTCCCTCCCCAATGTCGCGCTACGCATCTGAGCCTGATGAAGGGGACCCCTTGTGGCCCCGAAAGCGCTTGTATGGGATGGCAATGTGCCATTAAAATGGATCATTGATTTACTATTGCGGTGTGCTGGTGACATTATTCTTTTCTTCCGTGGTCACTACGAGCACCCACCCAGTTTTTGGGGGTTTTCCGGTAAGGAGTGCAGCAAGATATCTTGTTTCTAAAATGTGCATTGTCACGCAATATTGCTCAATGCCGCTCAGCACAAAATCACGCGGGAAAACGCGCGATTCTCCATGTCGCTCAGCGTGAATGGGGTCTTAAACAGTAGGCCTACCAGAGACGCATTAGGGCACCGGGCCACGAAATAACGGCATGCCATAGGCAAAAAGAAAACGAGGAAGGGATCTGCAATGATAGGGAACTCATCCAGAACAACTTGCGTAGGGCGGGCAGGAAGGAGCAGGAAAACTCCAAGGCTGCAGACCAGCCCACTAAAGTATCTAAAGCAGATGGTAGGAAATATTCAGGAAGTCCTCTGCAGCAGTGTCTCAGTAAGACAGGTTTAACAGAAGTGGTGCTGAGCACTGGGAGGGCCTCTTTAGGATGTCTATGGTAGCAGAGTTCGGATGGGGCTTGTTTTCACAGAGCAGACTAAATGGTGACTGGTGTCAAAGATCACCCCGAAGACAATTCCCTACGAAATCAAAACAATATTCTTCTTTCCTACTACCTGTGCCCGAACCTCTGTCCCTGGATGTAGATTAACTTTTATGTGATTTTGAAGACTGAGCCAAGTCATACAGAGACACAAACAATGGCGTGCAAGCGGCTCGCAGTATGCTTTGCCTTCTACGCAGAATAAGAGGAACTCGAAGATACACAATCGTAGAGTACCGCAACATGTTAGCTTCTGATCATTTGGAGTTTAACAGGGTTATTCACAGAAGGGTGAGGAGTTTGGAGAAGGCCGGAGAAGTGAACAATCTAGGACAACATCGCTGTTTTGGAAAAAATGTCCAATTCGACTCACTTTCCAGTTCAGCTATGTTGTCTTAGACCAGGGGTGGCCACAATTTTTTGTGTTAAGATCTACTTTTCAAATGACGAGCTACAGGAGATCTACCAAGGCAAAAAAACCTCCCTCGTTCTCTCTCTCCTGGCCGTCTCTCCTCTCTCTCCTGGCCGTCTCTCCTCTCTCTCCTGGCTGTCTTTCCTTGCGCTCTCTCCCCTGGCTGTCTCTCCTCTCTCTCTCTCTCCTGGCTGTCTCTCCCCGCTCTCTCCCCTGGCTGTCTCTCCTCCCTCTCCTGGCTGTCTCTCCTTGCTCTCTCTCCTGTCTGTCTCTCCTCGCTCTCTCTCCTGGCTCACCTTGCTGTATTTTGCTGTGTAGACTAATATTCTTTGATGTAATACATAGCCATCCAACCTCCAGTATCCACCAGAAAGGTGTCAGGGAGCTCGGCTCAGCAGACTCCGGCTAATAGGTAATCACGTGTGCACAGCGAGATAAATATACCAAAATGGAATAAAGGGGCCGCCATTCACACCCTTCCTGATCTCCCAGCATCAGCTTTGAGAGCTACTGCTAGATCACCATCTACCTAATGGGCACCCCTGTCCTAGAGTGTTCACTTCTCCTGCCTTCTCCAGAGTCTTCACCCTTTTGTGAATAACCCTGTAAGTGATCCCCTTTATTGGCTAACGTATTAAAGGTGCAGCTTTCGAGGTGCCTTTGATGCCTTCTTGAGGCTTTATACATATACAAGCCTTGATCTAAGGAATCCTGAAAGCATCTCTAAAACCAAACTCCAGGATTATCAAATGTTGTCCTCATATCAGAGTCAGAGTCATTTTTCCTTGAATCATGGTGAGCTTTGTGTAAGGGTATAAGCTGTTATAGGTACCTTACTCCTCGCTCTGGAAGGCCTTCTCTATGCTGTTTGATTGGTTCCCCCAAAGCAGGTGGTGGCACTCTGATGTGATCTAGTGCAGTGCAAGACCGATAGCCCAGCATTGTACATGAGGATGGCGAGGGCCCACCCACAACTGGGAGGGTTGGAGAGAAGAAATGAGTGCCTGAAGCCTGCCAGAGGAATAAATAAGGTATTATAGCTTACCCCTTCTCTGCGACACTCTGGGTTGTGGATGAGCCCTCATCCTCAATTCTTCACATACAATGCAGGACTATTAGTACGACCACGGGCTGGAGTGCCTTAGAGAAGAGGCTTTGCGGGGACTGGTCTAGTGTTGTATGTAAATCGGTTGCACCGTGTGTAGAAAGCCTGCTGGAGCGGGAGTAAGGTAAGTATCACAGCTTACCCCTTCTCTCCAAAGCTCCGAGTTGTGGAAGAACCCTCATCCTCATGTCCTCGCATACAATGGAGGACTATTAGTGTGACCACCAGCTAGAGCACCTTAGAGAGGAGGCTTTGGAGGACCGGTCACAGAGTGTAGAAAGCCTGCTGGAGCGAGGAGTGAGGTAAGTATCACAGCTTACCCCTTCTCTCCAATGTTCCGGGTTGTGGAAGAACCCTCATCCTCAATTCCTCACATACAATGCGGGACTATTAGTGTGACCACCGGCCAGAGCACTTTAGAGAAGAGGCTTTGGGGGAACGGTCACACAGTGTGTAGAAAGCCCTCCGAAGTGACGAATAAGGTAAGTATTACAGCTTACCTCTTCACTCCGAGGCTCCGGTTTGTGGAAGAACCCTCATCCTCATGTCCTCACATATAATGCAGGACTATTAGTGCGACCCCTGGCTGGAGTGCCTTAGAGAACAGGCTTTGGGGGGACTGGTCTAGTGTTGTATGTAAATGAGTTGCACAGTGTGTAGAAAACCTGCCAAAGTGACGAATAAGGTAAGTATCACAGCTTACCCCTTCTCTCCAATGCTCCGGGTTGTGGAAGAACCCTCATCCTCTATTCCTCACATACAATGGAGGACTATTAGTGTGACCACCGGCCAGAGCACCTTAGAGAAGAGGTTTTGGGGGACCGGTCACACAGTGTGTAGAAAGCCCTCCGAAGTGACGAATAAGGTAAGTATTACAGCTTACCTCTTCACTCCGAGGCTCCGGTTTGTGGAAGAACCCTCATCCTCATGTCCTCACATATAATGCAGGACTATTAGTGCGACCCCTGGCTGGAGTGCCTTAGAGAACAGGCTTTGGGGGGACTGGTCTAGTGTTGTATGTAAATGAGTTGCACAGTGTGTAGAAAACCTGCCAAAGTGACGAATAAGGTAAGTATCACAGCTTACCCCTTCTCTCCAATGCTCCGGGTTGTGGAAGAACCCTCATCCTCATGTTCTCACATACAATGGAGGACTATTAGTGTGACCACCAGCCAGAGCACCTTAGAGAGGAGGCTTTGGAGGACCGGTCACAGTGTGTAGAAAGCTTGCCGGAGCGAGGAGTGAGGTAAGTATCACAGCTTACTCCTTCTCTCCAATGCTCCGGGTTGTGGAAGAACCCTCATCCTCATGTTCTCACATACAACAGAGGACTATTAGTGTGACCACCAGCCGGAGCACCTTAGAGAAGAGGCTTTGGGGGAACGGTCACACAGTGTGTAGGAAGCCCTCCGGAGTGAGGAATATGTATCACAGCTTATTGTTCTACCTGGACTTAATGAGCATTTAACCCTCGATGTGAGACCATGAGTATATGCTCTTTAATAAAAAAGCATTTTGATTTTTATTATCCACAATGATGGCTTTATCCGGCCCCCCCACCCCCTACCATCTGATATTTCTGAGCTAGTCCCTTACATATGAAAGTCAAACAAAGTGGCGATTATCTTTTCAATAGAATTGGATAGAACAGGTAACGCGGGCCAGTTGCTTTTCTTTTTTTTCTTCTTCAGGAATTATCCACTAGAGCTGGAAATTGAGGTTAGAAATCTCATTTATAATAAACCTTTAAACGGCCGCGGCCTAGGAAAGAAAGCATCACAAAGCGCTCTCCATCGCTACATTATCATATTGAAAATTGCCGCTATTGGAAGAACGCTCATTACAAGACTTACATTTGCCAGCGCTAATCAATACTTAGGAAATAATTGCTTCTTAAACATTGATGCGGGTTTTGCTTTTTTTTTTTTTTTCAGGCCTAGTTGCGACGTGGTTATTTTTTTTTATTTTTAGGGCTCAGAGTCAGGAGATCAGAGTGCCAGCGCTCGCAGACAGCTGCAGTAAGAAACATACATTTGTCATTCAAATTGTTGGCTGAACCGCCAGGTAATGTGAAAAGGATAGTCAAGTGGCTGTTAAGTCCATTGCTGCCAATTACCAACAATCAGGGAGGGGCTTTAAGGCTTATTCATTATAATAAAGCCCGGTTTGTCTTGTTTCACGGGTTATCGCTGAAGAGGTTGCAGCTGCACGGATTCGAATAGCCTCGGAACGACGGCAATTACGCAGCAAATCGCTCGCTTTGCGTCGAAGGACTATATGCAAACAGTAACTGTTTAAGTTCTGGTGTGCCTATGGGTTACACTCTATGCACACTCGCTGTAGGGCTGCGTGGGAGATGGATCATTCGGCAAGGCACTTTGCGTTTGATATTGCGTCTGTTTATTAATAATAATAAAATGAATAGGTGTGTGTATGTGTGTGTGTAAGTGTATGTATGTATATATATATATATAGAGCCCATTGACTGTGGAATATGTAGTGTGAAGGAAATGTCACGGAACACCTGAATCCAATGATTTGGAGGGGCGTCCCAATACGTTTGGTAATATAGTATATTTAGATCTAGATAGTTCTCAGTGACCTCTCCAAGAAAATTTTTGAATGTTTACATTTTGTATTTATTTTTTTACCCCTTTTTAGGGTTATTGGCCGTTTAATCACAACTTGTACTGGGAATATTGTTTTAAACAAATCGTGTTTTTGTCCTTACAGACGATGATGAACATGAGTGGATAGTCCGGACCTGTCGGAAGGGATGGGATGAAGTTACGGGATACAAACCCAAACATTAGCTCGGATACAACTACCACCACCGTTATTGTAAGCGATGCTCATGAATGTATAAACCGTTCTTCCAGATCCCGAAAATGTGGTCAAATGTACCATCAAATGTATGTTGTCCCCAATGTACACAAACATAGATGAGTCAATAAATACACCATTATCGTATGATTCTTGTGTATCAAATGCACGTACATGGTGTGTTATGTATTGTATGAATCAGTCCATTCATAATGTTGGGGGTACCAAGCTCTGGCAGCTGTGCCCCTCAAAAAAGGCAGATAGAAGGCAGCAAAAGACCCATCACCAGTATTGCCTGTGGTCTCCCTGTAGCTGATCTTTCATCCATTACTGACTTACCATGCCTTGTTCTGCACCTTGTGTCTGTGTGGAGGTCGCCATCTTGGTAGAGCAGAGCTGCCCCACCCTAATCACTCATGGGGTAATGAGAAAGAAGCAGCAGGAGGGGTGGAGTAAGCACAGATCCACAGAATGAATGAAGGAAAAGCATGGGTACAGGTCCACAGAATGATTGAAGGAGAAGCAGGGAGATCCTTGCACTGCAGGTCCATCAGATACGGCTTCCTCTCCGGCAAGGAGAACAGCACAGTTGTGACATTCGCAGATCTCATTCCAAAGTTCCTGAGACCAGCAGTCAGTCAGCAATGCTTGAGATCTCACGCTGCAGATATACAGCTATGAGGCTATAGAACAGGAGTATCTAAGCACACTGAGATACCAAGAAAAAAATAACATTGTTTCTGTATATGACAGGAATATAAATATGTGTTATATACATAATGTGTATGTATACAAATTGTATTTCTCTTCTCTCTCTCCCCCCCCCCTTTCTCTCTCCTCCT